ACCCTTGGGGCAAGCACAGCTTTGCCTCTTGGTGCACGGTTCTCACTAGTGATTTATTTGCCCAAGTATTTCACCAAGTAACCTTTGGACAGAGTGCAGTTCTCTGTTAATTTTTTTTTGGACTTGTACCCCATAAGCTCCCTCTGTTTGTACAGGCTGCTCAGACAGGCTTTATTCAGTGTGAGAGATTAAATCTCTCTGAATCTGTAAAGTCCCAGCTGTAATGGCACAATGCTAAGCAACAAACTTTTCATGGTGACAGGCTGCTTAACCAGGCCATTGGTGTTCCATTTCTCATAAGAACCTTAACACTTCATTTCAGCTGGCTCCCATTCCTGGTGGTGTGCTGGATCCTTATAATCCATCCCTGGTATGCAGAAGTGGGGGGATCTGTAGTAAAAACCAGATGAAACAGGTTGGCTGACACACAGGTCTCATTATTCAGCATAGGGGGAGCTTAAGAACAGTGTTTTTCTAGAAATTATGTTTTTCTAAAAAAAAATCTCTAGTTTTTGATTGGCTTTCAAATGGAAGAGTAAAGCAGCAGCACTAAAATGCCTGTGGAATAAACAAACTGGCATGAAGTCTTGATGCTCCTGTGAGGACTGGTTTTACAGGCTCATTCCACTTCCACAGGGGCTGAGTCAGTGATGTGTTGATTGCAGATGGATGGTGACACACCTGCCTTGAGCAAGGAGAAACCTGGAACGAGCCAGGCTTGGAAAAAGCCAGCCAGTCTCTTTTGATGATGTGAGTGCAGGAACATGACACCTCTGCAGGTCTGAGGCTAGCTCTTCTCTTGTGTGAGAAGTCTTACTGGATAAAAGAGCATTTAATCCAAAGGTCTTTTCAGAGCATGATTGTGTTCTGGTGGTAGAAGAAAGGAGCTGTGGTTCCCTAAAAAAGGAGGAAGTCCTCTTTGCATAACTCCCAGAGAAACCTGAGGCTGCTTCCTGTGTCTTACCCAAGTTTCTTTTGGGACAGACTATGGCATATGAGAGAATGTTGCCCTGTCTCCTGAAAGGCCTGGAGAAATTTTTGATTTCATGTAAAGCCCTGCAGTAAAAGTATCTAAGGAAAGGAACTGAGCTGGAGTGCACCACATCTGTGCATTTAAAAAATGTGGTTTGTTTGGCTTTGTTGGTGGAATAGATGTTTCTGCAGGGCACAAGTATCAAGAAGATTTTGCTGAAAGTGTTTAAAATGTTACTGCACAGTTAACTGCCCTGTTTCTTGTGTGGAGCAAACTTCTGTACTGCTGGAACATAACTTGTGTGCCCCTGACACTTTTATGCAAAGGTTGGTTTCTCAGTGTGAACAGCTGATGAAAGTGATTGCAAAGTCTTTGCATAAATCTTTAAATTCCTTTAAATTTGTGTCTGCTTTGTGCCTGTAAAAACTTTGCAGGTGAGATAATGACCTCTTAAGCTTCTGGCTCTGTCTGCTCAGTGATCACAACAGGGATCTGATGATGCTGACACTTGGGCCTTCTCATCCAGCCTGCTTAAAAACAGTGCTGCAAAAGAATGAGCACAGGGGGCAGCTGATTTTTGCTCATATGCTGATTTTTTTGAGGCAGAGACTGAAAAATGTAGCAGTAAGTTGTTGTAGTTAGCTGTGTGTGGAAGGCTTTTTCCTCACAGTCAGCAGCTCTCGTGTCTCCTTATCTGCCTGCTGCCAGCTAAGCCCTGTGTTGGTTCCATGGAGCTGTGACTGCCCCAGCTGCCAGTGGGCTCTGGAAGTCAGCCAGGTTGTGAAAGTGGGTGCATGTGGTACAGGCAGAGCTCCCAGGTCCTGCATGTGGAGCTGCTGGTGTCAGGAGAGTGCAGAGTGGGAAGCCTGTCAGCCAGCAATGCTTCGTATTTTGGTGGCAGGCAGTTTGTTTCCTGTGCAATTTAAAAAGTGGCAGTATGAGAGGAGATGTTTGCAGAGCAGAGCTTTTGAGCAAATGCAGATCTCTGTTTGAGGATCACTGGCCACTCTGAAGCTCTGCTAAAACTCAGGTTGTGGTTGTCCCATGAGCTCTTAATGTGTTGCAGACATCTTTTCATGAAAAATCCTTTCCTTAGGATTTTTCCTTCTGAGAAGCTGAGAGGCCTTAGGAACAAAATGTAAACGTTGATTATCTGCTGCTGAGGAATGCAACAGGTGCATCTCTGATTGGTCTCATAGAGTTGTTGGTAATTAATGGCCAATCACAGTCAGCTGGCTTAGACTCTGTCCAAGACAGAAGCTTTTGCTATCATTCTTTGCTATTCTCTTCTTAGTTGGCCTTCTGATGAAACCTTTTCTTCTATTCTTTTAGTATATTTTTAATGTAATATATATCATAAAATAATAAATCAACCTTCTGAAACATGGAGTCAGATCCTTTGAGTCTCTTCATTCATCCTGAGATCCCTGTGAACACGGTCACATTAATGTCACTGCTGGGATTGTTCCTGTTTTTCTTCAACATACAGAGCTGGCAGAAACAAGTTTTCCTTCTCACCTCATGCCCTAAATCTTTACTAAAAATATCACTGACTTGCCATTGTAACCTGAAATAGATGTCGGAGACCCAGCAAGGTCTGGAGGGGTATGAACTCCTTGGAGTGAGTTGGGGAACTGCTAACCTTGGTGTAAGCAAGATGCAGAGGGCAGAGACGTTGGCATTTTGACTGCTGCATGTCATTGTGATGGAGTGGTGTTTAGCTGCAGCTCTTTAGGTCAGTGCCAGCAGTGTCCTCCTCTTTAATTACCCAAATCCTCCCTAAGTGAAGTGCTCTGGGGTGATGCAAAGAGCTCAGTGGACTTTAGCTCTGCTCCTTTCTTTGCTGATGAAAGCTCTGTTACCATAGCTGAGGGGGTGATGGGTACTACAGTTCCAGTGTGCCTTTCTCCTTGTAAAGCACGCTGGAATTCTGTGTCACAGTGGGCACTTGGATGCAGCTTTGAACATAAGGCTGATCTGTCTTCCTCAGCAGGAGCTTTTCTGTTTGGATGGAGAGCTCTGAACAGTCGTGCTGCATTTTCCTTGGGAGAACAGCAAAAGCCTGTTGGGTTTGTCAGCCTGCATGGTGCCAAGTTCACCTGGCTTTAACTTTAGTTGCTGTGGCAGATGGAGAATTGGCTTGGTGAGGTGACTGAGATGAAGCACTGTGTGTCAGGGGCATGGGGAGTCACACAGGGAACTCTGTTGTGTGACATGCTCACTGCCTGCATGCATCTCTGCACAGACCTGAAGTGACAGCGTGCTGCCTGCTCGCCCCCTTGGTGGCATGTGAGAGGCAGATGACATCTGGTCTGAACACCAGGCTGTCCTGCAGGCTGAAGGAAGGAACATGGATCTGCCCAGCCTGTCTGGAGCTGACAGCCTGGTTGGAAGCCCTTGGATTGTGTGAAGCATGCAGCTGAAGGAGAAGAGGGCTTGAGACCATTCCCGACCCTTCTGAGATGCAAAGAGCAGCTCTTTCTGCCTTCTGCTCTCCTACAAGCTTAGCTGTGGCTTGGCTTTCCTGCTTTGTGGACAGCCCAAGCCACCTTTGCTGACTTTCTTTCTCCTTGTCTTTGGCAGCAGGCTGTTGGTGGTGGCTGAATGTAGCATCACATTACATCCTCTTGTGGCCCTTCTGGAGCTTTCTTTAGAGCACTGCTTTTTTTCTTTTTTTGCCTTTTTTTTTTTCCCAGCCAAGACACTGCTGTTCCCAAAGATAAGATGCAGCACAGCTGCCTCTCCAGCACTGGATGCTGAATTTGAGCTGTTGCTGAGCCACCTGTTCATCACAAGTGGTATTTCTGAAGCAGAACTTGAGACTTGGCCAGTTTTGGGATTACTTGGAGCAGGTACTCAGCTGTACTATTAATACAATCTGGTTGGAGATCCCCAGACCTTGCCTTGGAGCCAGGCCATTCACTGGCCTTTCTTGACTGGATGCTTGTTAAAAGGGATGAAATTGGGAGTGTTACTGCTAATAGGAGTTACAATATTGCTGCAGAAAGGCAACAACTTTCAGAAAAAAATTAGTATTTGTGGGAAAAAAAAAGTGTTCTTTGTGGCTTAGATAAGTGCCCTGCCCATTTAGAAGTGCTGGTCTGTGTATGACTGATCATGGGCTCAGACTTGATGGTTGTTTTAAGGCAGCAGCTGCCCAAATCCTTCCCAATAGGGACCTTAGTCCACTGTAAGCAATAATTAGCCCATGGATGAAGAGTGAAGACTTGAAGGAATGGTAGATGCCCACCTAGAGAAGACCACATTGTACTGAACCTGAATATAAGCTGTGGTCTGCCAGAGATTAAATGTTGTGTATTAACCTGGATGGAACTATGCTGTTTAACCTCAGAATTATTCTTTGGCAATATGATTAGATTTATTAGCCTTGGCATTTGCAGTGATGCCCTTTCACAGCGTAGCTTAGCTTTAATTAAGGTGGAAGCACTCATTGGACTGAGTAATTTCTGGGATGTTTGTGTTTCAAGACATCCTTATCCATACTTCTGTCTTAAAAAAAGAGAGAACAGCTCTACCTCTTGCCTTCCTGACAGATGAGTCTGACCATTTCCCTGGCAATGGAAAATGTTAAAACTTGTGTGTGTGTGTGTTTATGTATACCCAGGCAAACCACCCCACTCTTGTCAAGCTTTCCTAGTGTTGTATTCACTCATGCTGTGGTTTAGACTAGTTTCCATCATGGCTTTGTGAAATTTCATCACAAAACAAGTGCAGCAGAGCTTCCTGGGAGTGCTTGGAAATTCAGCCAGAGGATGGATGGCAAATGAATGACAACACGTGTTCATGTGCAGTTTAGTTTTGGAAAAACAGATACACAACTGGGTAGCAAGACATTCAGTTAAGGCAGGCCTTGTCTTTTGAGTGTTTTTCTCAAGGAAAAAACAACCATGTGCTTTGAGAGGAAAGCTCTGTGCAGTTCTGTACAGCTGTTCCCCTCTTCAGTATTGACCTCAGCAGTTCAGGCAAGGAAAAACTCAGGGTAGGAGATTCTCTGGAAGTCAGGCTCTCATGGGGAAAGGTCTTGGTGACAGTGGGCAACAGGGATATGCACTTTGTGTGTCCAGGGTGTTATCCAGACCTCAAAATAGCATCTCAGCATCTGTGAATAAAAGGGGAATAGGTGAGAAAGTTCAGGTGTCTGCTGGTTGATCTCAGCATTGCAGGCTGTGATGGGGCAGGAGAAAACAGCATCCTTTTGTCTGCCCACTTTATCCTAGGAAAAGTGCTGTTTGCTGAGTGACCCTGTCTAGTGGGAAAGCCTGTGTAAAGTGTTTCCCACCCAGGAAAGCTATTTAGCACCTAGTTTATTTCTGCACACTCTCCTCAGTCACTCAGGAGCATGGGCCAGGTGGATGTGTCTGCTTCAACTCCCTGCAGGCGGGAGCTGGCCCTGGATGCACGAAAGGTGAGAACCAGGCCTCACCCCAGCTGGCTTGCAGAGGAGAAGCAGAGCTGCTCTAAAAGGGATTGTACAGCTAGAGGTGACCAAGAATCCCCTGCAGTTCCTGGGCACCCCAAATAAATGGAACACATACCTGTTGCAGGTTTTTTTCCCTCTGGAAGTGACATCTGTCCAGGCTGGGGTGATCCCTCTTCTCACACACGGTGCGTTTGATTTCCACGTGAAGCATGTACTTCAGCCCTCTGACTATCTAGAGAAAGCAGTTTCCTCCTTTAGAGTGAGGGCAGGGGAAAGAGATGCCAGAACTTTGGCTAGAAATGAAGTGCTACAGCTGGGAACAGTGTGTCACCCACGCAGAGCCCTCCTGTGTAGCAGTGCTATAGGAAACAGCTTCAGCAGCCCTGAGGAGGATCAGGGATGTTGTGCCTTGGATATGCCAGAGCAGGGTCAGTTAGAAGATGGTTTGGAGAACCATCAGGAGCCTGCTGCTCTTACCTGTACCATGGCTTGCTTTATCTGTGATTCCTTAAAGAGGAAGAGGTCGTTGGAGCTGTTGTTGTATCTGTAGACCCCAAAGCGAGCGGCCCTGCGCACCTCGGGGCTGTCGGTGCTCACTGGCACAGGGAAGCCAGGTCTTATGGTTGAGTGGGGTGGTGTAACATGTGAACCTGAAACAACACCAAACAGCAGGGTAAAACACAGCAGGGGCATGAAAGGGTGGGAGCTTCAGCCCTCTGAACCAATCCTAAACCCTTTTATTCATCCAATGCATTTGGAGGTCTCTGCTCGCATCCATTACAAAGTAGTTTTCATTTATATGACTGAAATGGTGAAACAGTGCTAGGAAATGAAGTGACATAAAGAGATGCTGCCAGAAGTGAAAGCAGAGCTCAAAATCACTCAGAAGAAGCCAGAGTATCACATATACTATTTCAATGTCTCTGTTATAACTCCCGCTTTATAGAAAGACCAGTTTTGAAACTGCTTGTAAAGATAGGTCAGATGTTGCTCAGAGTGCAGTATAGTTTTGATAATATATCAAACACTGGCTCCAGAGTCCTGGTGCTCTTAATTTGCATACCTTATCTTACAGATGCAAGTTTTTATCCCACATCCCACCCTTAAACCTTTGATGGCATCTTGAGGTTTTTATGTTAGAGGGATTCAGATGTTAGGAAGAAATTCTTCACTGAAAAAGGGTGGTAAGACACTGGTACATGTTTAATCCCTGGAAGCTTTCAAGTCCAGGTTAGGTGGAGCTTTGAGCAACATGGTCTAGAGGAAGTTGTCCCTGTCTGTGGCAGGGCAGTTGGAAGTAGATGGTCTTTAAAGCCCCTTCTAACCCAAACAATTATATTATTACCAAGGTCATGGAGTGGAGAAGCAAGGTGTGCAGGAAAGGGAAATTGGGAAATGTGGGAGTTAACCCATGATCTTTCACATTAGAGCAGTTCATAAAACCATTTACTGTATATTTTTACTTGCTTGTGTAGCTCTTTCCCCACGCACCGCTTATTTTTCCATCATTTAAAAGAAGCTCAGACCTTACAGTTGATGTCACTATTTCACCCCCTTTTACATTTCCTTTCCTCTCCATTTTCCCACTTCTGAAATCAAGAGGAAGAAAATCCCCAATCCTGCAGAAGGTGCCATCCAGCCAATGCCAAGGGCTGCAGGTGCAGGACGTGACCCTGTGTGCGTGCATGGCTGTGCTTGTGCGCACAGGTGTACACACAGAGGATGTATTCAATCTGCTGTGAAAGTCAAGCTTTTTATCACCTCTAGCTTTTTTTCACAGATAGATCTCTCACCCCCAGCCAGCTGCACAGAGCATAGGCTGTGCACTTAAACCAGTTTGCAGGGGCAGCTTGATGATCTGAAGTCTATTAAAAAAAAATAAAACAGCCAAACCAGAATTATGTAACATCAACGGCATGGAAGGTGACAAAAATTTATCACACATGTTGCTTATGCACATCCTACTTATACTGTCACGTCCTTCTCACAGGTGTTAATTGCTGCACTCACTTGTAACAGTGCTCAGGGTTTACGCCTTGACCTGCAAAGGAGAGACTCAATTCCACGTCTCTCCTCAACCCAAGGATGTCCAAATCCATCTCTCTTCCTGGCTGACACCCCAGCTGCCTTAATGACCCCTGTACTTTCTTGCAGGTGGGAGCTGAGAGACCCAGGCCATGTGTTGGAGAGGAGTGGAAGTTCTGCAGGTGGCTTTGTGTCTGCTGTGGAGCTGATGAGCTCTCCTGTGCCATGCCTCTGATCTGTGCTGGCACTATGGGTGTGCAGCCAGTGCTGGGCGAGTGTTGTGGTGTTTTTTCACCCAACAGAATCCACTTGTATCTCCCAAGACTATTTATCGATGATATTTTCACCCCCGACGAAGGGAGAGAAATGATGCATCTGACTCCATCTTATCAGAAGGCTAATTAATTAATTTATTACACTATATTATTCTATACTATATTACATCTATGTTACATTACATCTAAACTGAACCTGCCAAGCACTCAATTCTGCTCACACTCTGCACTGAATCTCGTGACTGTCACCCAACAGTCCTGACTCACACACACACACTTGGCCCTGACAGGCCAAGGAAACAAAACACCAACACTTTGGGTAAACCATCTCCATATTGCATTCTACTTTTGCACAAACACAAGCACAGCAAATGATAAGAATTGTGTTTTCCTTTCTTTGAGGTTCAGAGAATGTGAATCCCAGAAATATTCTTGGGAAGAATTGTGCCTTGCTTTTCCCTGTAAGGAGAAATGTGGCGACACCTATTCTCTGTGGGATGGTGTCTTCTTGCTGCAGCAAGGGTGGGATTGAAGAGTCACAGAAGCTTGTGACCATCCAGCCTTGGAACAAAGGTGTTTCTCAGGCAAGCACACCTCACCCAATGCTCAGCTCATAGGTAAAACTTTTCACAGGGGTTTAAGGCACTGGCATCCACAGGTGATTGAGGAGGGCCATGCAGGACCTGTCTGCATGCAGAAATGAAGCTCCAGGCAGAGCAGGGCCTTGCTTTGCCCACCAGGCCAGCTGTCCTGTTGCCCAGAAATGCCATGATTTTCCTGTGCCATCAATAGCAACCCTACAGCTGTAGGAACCAGCTTTTTCCTGAGCTCACCTAGCAGCTGGGACATCCTGCCAGGCTGAGAGCAGGCTGCTGCCCTGGGCTCTCCTTGCTGCTCCCCAGCACCTTGCTTGAATATCTGCTCTCACACCTGTTGGAAAGTCAGGTGTTGCAGTGTTGACATCAGATACTGTTCTTTGCAGAAGGGGGTGATAACCACAGCCCCTTTCAATCTGTACACAAGGTCCTTTTGTGGCTTTTGAGAACCTCTTGAGTCATGGTGACGTCTTTTATAGGCCTGGGGTGAATGAGACTGGCTCAAACCACACTGTGTGGAAGGAAAGAAAACTATTATGTGCATTATTCAAACCAAGAGTCGGAGTCCAAGAGCCCTCATTCCTGACTCCAGTGCTGGGAAATCCAGCAGTGTCACACATGGCCAGGCCTCTGAAATGCATCACCTGGAGAGGTGAGCAAGCTGGACAGGTGTTGTAGACAGGTAGACTCAATATACCATGTGTTGTAAGTAGGGGATGGGTTATAGGTTATATTTCTCCCCCAGCTTTCACTAAGGGGTACTGGGTGTTTTACCTCATTCACTTGATACAACTTGGTGTTGAAAACTACCCACACCAGAGCAAAGTGGGTATAAAATCTACTGAGCCCTCATGAGAGATCTTTATCCCACCATTTTCCTCTCAGATTCTTTAGGGCTAGGATTTGGTTTTCTTTGTGTGCTTTCATTCTCATTCAAGGTGGTCACTGCATGGCAAACACAGGTCTGAAATCACTTTCAGTGTTTGGAATAGTTTGCACCACTCTATTTCCAAACCCCAGGGACTCTCTGGTGTGAGGTACCTGTAATTCTGATTTTCTCTCTGCAGCCTTTTCTGACCATTTCATCTCTGGCTTGTCTTGAGTGCCATTTCCTACAAATTAGAATTTGTGTGAGGTGATGGCCCCGTTCCAGGCACACACAAGGCAGCCTTGGCTCAGAGGGCAGATAGCTCTGCAGGGCTCTAGGCATGCCACCATTCCTGAGACATCCAGGCTGTGTGGGAGCAGAGGCACAGCATAACTTGGCCAGGCACCTACCACCCTCAGAGGGCACGGGTGTGTGATCTCACAGTCTGAGCAGACAACTCTTGCTGCTCTAGGGAGAGATGCTCAGGAGCAGAGCATTCATATTCAGAGCCCATCCTTGCTCCTGGATTTGGAAATGTCAAGAGAGAGGTGGAAAAGCCAGCCCTCCTCTTGCTCCTTCTGTTGGGCAATGGTAGGGTTAAACCCTTTGCTTGCTCAAAATTAGCTGGCAACCATCTGTTATTAAGCAAACAAGGGCTGGTTTTGCAGATATGAGCTGAATGTTACATTAAGAGGCTCTCTCTTGTGCTTTCCTCCTTGAGGATTGCTTTGGGGACCTTGTTCCTGCAGTATGAGAGAGCAATCATTCCTGTGGCTGCTCCCTCCCAGGCTGCAGTGAAACAAAAACAGATTGCAACGTGTTGATTATTTTTTTTTTCCCCACCAGATGCTTCGAAAACCTCCTCCCCATTTCTCCCTCCTTTAAAAACTTCCTCCCCCTAGCAAGGCTAGGGCTTTATCTTTACATTTAAGATGTGGCAGAGTTCCTGCATGCCTCTGCAGCCCCCAAAGGAAACCACAGCAGAACAAAAAAGCTACTGGCTGACCCAACACCATCCCTGAGTTCTTTCTGTATATGTGAACCAAAGTAATGCTGAAATATATTCAGTAGTACTGGACCAAAACCTTCAGAGAAAAACACTCATGTCTGCAGCTCCCATTCTAAAGATTTAAGGCCAGCTGCAATCAAGAGAGTTCCCTTGCTCAGCAAAGAAAGAAATGAAACAGGTTAATGCTTCATTAAAAGTCAGCTAATCTGCACTCAAGTGTCCATCTGTACTTAGCAGTCAGATTGTTACCCGCAGCCTTTAGATTTAATAATCAAGGTCACGCAGAGTTTAAACACTGACAAATGAGTTAAAACCATAAATTGACTTTAAAGCCCCTAAATGACATCCCTGGACAGCATGGTTCACTACACAAGGAGAAAGTCTTTGGAGCAGTTGGGTTTTCAGCTGCAGCCTGAGCCCTGCAGCGCCTGGAGAAAGGCTGTTACTTACCACAGCACCACGTAGCACCACTCACAGAACGTAAACCACAAGGAAAACAGCAATTATTTCCCATTCTTACCGCCTGAAGTCCCGGTGAAGCTCCAGAGTGCCAAACAGCAAAGTGCAGCGAGGCTGCAGGGGAGGTTCACTGCCATCTCCACCGCTCCACAAGAGGAGCCCCACTGCCCGAGGAGTCACTGCCCTGCTTCCTGCCAGAGAAACGCTTCTGTGAGTGCTCTTATTGGCTGGTGGGGACGAAAAAAACCACCCTGAAACCCCCTGAATCGTCACAGCTCTGATGCAGGCTTTGTTTCCTGCTGATGACCACATACCTCGAAGCCCAGCCGCGAAGCTGTGGCTTGGTGACAGCAGCGCCAGCCTTGCATGAGACAGGGACTTTTGCTTTGTGATCCTCAAGAGCAACAGCGTGGACAAATACATGTGATACAGCACTGGAAAGGGGTGTGGGGGTGAGCAGAGTTACTGTCATGTGCTTTAAGGGTCATGGGGAAAATTCACATTTAAGAAACAGTTAATGAGCCCTGGGGATGTGGCTCTTGAATTGGATTTGTGCATCTGAGTGTGGACACCTGACAGAGGTGACGGGTCCAGGGTTTTGCCTCCCCTGATGTGGAGATTGGGGTTTGGGTGAGGGAGATGAGGAAGTTTTAGGGGTACCTACCCGAGGGGGCTGTGTAGAACAAAACCAATGGGGAAAACATTTTGGGTTTGGTGGTAGAGCATCACACCCTCCATTTATAAAAGGTGTTATGACAACAGGAAAGGGCGGCATTAGAGAGGATCAGGTTTTTTTCTAGGTGATATCTAGAAAGAAGAGAAACAGGGGCAGAGGGGCATTTTGTCTCTCTGTGGCTTGAATTATCCAGTGTAAGTCCTTGGTTTCTAGAAGATCCTCTCTAGTCAGTGCTGGCCCATGCTGAGGAGCTTGAAAGACCAGGGAAAGTGCTTGGTTTGCCAGACTTTGTGGTGCAGCTGAAATAACCAGCTGACAGATTCAGGAGACTGGGAGATGAAAAGTTGTTTCACTGAAGGGCTGAGAGGGGTGGACTCATTCTATGTGTGTGTGTGCATATGTTTCAGGTGAGCAGGAAGGTGATGGCTGTTCTTCACTTGCCCCAGCAATGCCCCTTTTTGAGCAGAGGCATCTTATGGCCTAATGCAGGGCGCTGTGGGTGGTTTATAAAGGGCTGGAGGAAAAATATTCTTAATATTTTGTTGTAGGAAGGGATTAGATAAATCCTCTTTTCAAATGTCCCACAGAGAAAGAATGGGGCAAGCATGGTGCGTCACACTGACCATCAGTCCTTCTTGCATAGGCTGCTGAATCAGACTCCTAAGCCTGGGAAAACACTGACACAGAATGAGAAAGACTGTGTTGAGGGGATTTTAATAACTCTCCCTCCTTTTTTTTTTTTTTTTTTTTGAGCTCTCATGGCAGGAAAGGGTGGCATTAGTGGCATTAGAGAGGATCAGTTTTTTTCTCATTCATCAGTTTTTTGACCCATTGTGACACAGGTAGGGACTCCATCAGGTGTCTTCAGCTCCTCCCTTTCTCCTGAAGAGCTGTTCTCTACATTTGCTACCTCACTGACAGGTTCTGGTGAGTATCTTTCTAAGCCTATAGTCAGGTGCTCTAATGTGCAAGAAGGAGGTGATTGAGACCCTTTAAGGTCCCAAAACTTGCTTGATGAGACACTTAAAAGGGCTTCCATTTACTCTGAGATAGAGGCATAGGAGAAATACTAACTGGATGTTCTCAAGGGGTCAAAACAACTAAAAATCTCTTTACTGGCATCTTTCAAAAATCAACGAGTTTTGGCAAAATGTTTAGAGTACCCTACAGCAGCCTTCAAGTACCTAAAGGGGGCCTAAAAGAGAGCTGAGAGAGGGATTTTTGTTACAGTGATAAATCCACAGGAAATGGCTGTAAACTGACTGAAGGCTGTTTTAGATTAGCTATTGGGAAGAAATTCTTTCCTGTGAGGCATGGGCACAAGTTGCCAGGGCATTGTGAATGCACCATCCCTGCAAGTGTTCAAGGCCAGGCTGGATGGGGCTTTAAGCAACCTGTCCTGGTAGAATGTGTCCCTGCCTGTGGCAGGGGGGTTGGAACTGGGTGACCTTTAAAGCCCCTTTCATCCCAAACCATTCTGTGATTGTATAATAAAGCCAGACAGCCATTTCAAAAAAGCAGCATGTGTCTTCAGGTGACACATTTTTCCCTGTCTTCTTCCCTTGCCCCTTCTTTCCATAAAAATTGATCAGTTATAGCTCTTTCATACCAACTTTTTCTAGTGCCCCTTTTATGATTTTTGTTGAGGAAGTTTCTCTAGTTCTTTACTCTTAGGAAGAAACAGAGTGCTCACTAATGAGCAATAGTATTAATAGTGCTAAGTGGTATTATCTAAAAAATCACAAAGAACATGACACCAAAAATCCCACCAAATCCCCTCCACCCTCCCCAGTAAGAGCCAAATAGCATCAAGCCCCTCTAAGGCCACAATGTACATATATACCTGTTATTTTTCCTTTGGGAAATTTCCTGCTGTGGAATAAACCAGCAGCTGGAGACTGTGATGGTTGTCCCTGTGACGGTGTTCACAGGGGTTCTTGGATGAGGGAAGAGACAAGGATCTGACTCCATGTTTCAGAAGGCTGATTTATTATTTTATGATATATATTATATTAAAACTATACTAAAAGAATAGAAGAAAGGATTTCATCAGAAGGCAAGCTAAGAATAGAATAGCAAAGAATGATAACAAAGGTTTGTGGCTCAGCTCTCTGTCTGAGCCAGCTGGGCTGTGATTGGCCATTAATTACAAACATCCAACATGGGCCAATCACAGATGCACCTGTTGCATTCCACAGCAGCAGATAATCAATGTTTACATTTTGTTCCTGAGGTCTCTCAGCTTCTCAGGAGGGAAAATCCTAAGAAAGGATTTTCCATAAAAGATGTCTGTGACAGTCCCTTTGCAAACTCTCATTCCAAGCAGGTGTTGCTTCCTGGGGTACTGCTCTGTGCCCCAAATCTATCTGCAGAAGTGAAGCAGTGTGATGTTTTGTCTGACATCCAGCCCCAGAAAATGAGTCAGATACTCTCACCATTGAAGCTCCCTGAGGATCACTGGCAGGAATTCCATCCCCTTTCCCTGGAAAGCGTGTGTAGATCTCCTCTACACCAGCCCAGGGCATGTGGGGCACTTTGTGGAGTATATATTTCCCTCACTGAATTTCCCAGTGTGTGAGCAGGCATCCTGAGCAGGGAGAGGATGAGCACAAGTGGGCACAGAAACACTCACAGATTATCCCAGGGCAAACAGAGCATTTGCTTTAAGCAAATAGCTACCCCTGACCCAGTCTAAGTCAAACTTGTGATCTTTCTGCATTAAGAGGGATTATATGGAACTTGAGAGACTTGCATACATGAAGAAGCCTCGTGTTTGTTTTTTTTTTTGGTGTGAGTAGGGGATGTTTATTGCAAGGGAATTTGCAGGGTTGTTACATTCTCTCTCTCTCACTGTTGGCCTGAGTTACAAGAGGCGTTGGCAACACTGCAACTCTGGGGACTCTTCAGATTAAAATAGAAAAAACAACCAAACTTCTATTATTCATAAATCAAGGATGTAATTTTATCCTCCTTTGGACTGAGGAAGCAGAAAAGCCACTGTACCTGATATTTGATTTTCATTTGGAACATGAGGTGTTCCAAATCATCATCACTTTCTGCTTCAGTTACTGAGGGCCAGACATTTGTCCCTGCAGCACAAGCCAGCAGTTTCTACCATGCTTCCTGGAACAATGCTGCAGGATCTGCAAGGGATCCTGTTGCAATTACACTCCTGTAAATGCAATCAGCATCTAGCCCTGTGCCCACAATATTTCATTTTCAGTTCCCACTCCCTTTTTGTACTTCGTGGATCAGTGGGGACTGTAAGAAAAACTAATCTCATTAACTTTTGCAGGGAGATGGAGGATGACTGGAGTGTGTTTGAATTGGGCATTCCAAGGCTTTAATTAAGATGCATTTACCACTGTCAATAGTTGTGGGGTTTTTTTCCTTTAAATCTTTTTAACATTTTCTGGGCTTTCATCAGATCTCTAGGGCAGCTAAATTCGTTGGTGCTGCTTTAATGAAGGGTTTGTGCAAGATACTCCATACTGGAGATCCTTGCACTTTGCAAGGGCAAAATATCTTGAGGTCCAGAGAAAGGATAGTTCAAGGAAGAGGCACCAGGATAAAGAATTCAATTGAGGATAAATAATATAAAAAATATTAAAAATATGTTGAGGTCCAGAGAAAGGATAGTTCTAGGAAGATGGATAAAGAATTCAGTTGAGGATAAAGAATAAAAGAGTATTTTTAGTTGAAAGGAAAGGGGGAGATGTTGGAATGTTAGGAGACACAAGACAGATTATAGACTTTAGACCTAGTTAACATAAGAGATTTGATAACAGGATGCCTTGGCAAAAGCAAACAGAATTTTGAAAATTAGACCTGGACTGCAAGAAGATTTAATCAGACAAGTTTACCAGAAAAAGTAAATTCCATTAAACACTGCAAGCAAGAGATGTTGTTATATGCATAAGTTTGTGTATGTGATTTCAACCTAATCATTGTAGTACACATCACTAATCTCCCTAAAATTGTATATAAGTGCTTGTATCCCACAATAAAATCAGATTCTAATCACCAAGTCAGTCTCCCCATCTCTCTCCATCACCACATATAAAGAATATAAAAAATATGTTGAGGTCCAGAGAAAGGATAGTTCAAGAAGCACCAGGATAAAGAATTCAGCTGCTCCTCTGCCTTCCTACAGCAGGAACACCTCCCAGCCCAGCTTTTGAAAGTGGGAAACCACCCTGACCAGCCACAGGACGCTTGACACCCTTCTGAGCAGGGTGTGGCTGAACGAGTTTGGGGAGGTGCAAGGGGAAGGAGCCCTGGGTCAGTGCTGGGGGCCCCATTTGGGAATTTGTGTCTCCATGCACACAGCAACAAGAGGATGCACTGCAGAAATTGGTGGGTTGACCTCCAAGCAGAGAGTTTGTCTACTTGCCTTTCCTGCCAGGTAGCTCAGCCACCCTCCCCTATGCCTCCACTGCATAAGAATTGTGAATTTTCAAA